CAGTAGGCCCTGAGACTTGCCCTGACCAAGATACTGGTGTACAACTTCAAGAGCATATGCACAAGATGGTAGAACTGGCCAATTAGTAGACTCCTCTAGATTAGTAGATTTCAAAGTCCCATGATTTCAGTGGAGTCTCATTTAGCCTCCTGCAAGGAAAGTCCTGGCCCTGCCCCCAACAACTTGATTTTTATAGTGCCATGCATGAAGCACGTGCTACTGTATCACAGCCCCGTGCATTTCTTTTCTTAGTTTGACAGTGTACTTTGGCATTGTTTTAAAGTTTTAATTAAATTTCACTGGTTGTGATAGACAACGCATTCGCAAATTCTGATTCAAGAATACCAAAACCAGAGAGTTAAAGACCAGTGTTGGTAAGTAATACCCTTATGCCCCCAAGACACACATTCAAAAAAGACCGGACCCACGGATCATGATAGCCTGTTAACTGTAATACTAAATTGACAGTACCGATGGCTACAAATGTCTAGCAAAACAGAGATTAAAAAATAAGCCCGAATGGTTGAAGTTTCGGATTATATGGAGAAAGGAGAGATTTTTTTTTTTCTTCTTTCATTATAGTGATTCAGGCAATTCAATTAATATTCTTCCTTTACTATTTCTGTATCTGTTCTGTTCAAAATTTTACACAGGGATAAATAATACAGGAGAAGTGAAGAATAAAGCAGCAAAGAGATGAAGTAAAGGAGCTAGAGAATATATTTGTTCAATTATTTACGTAATTATCCTTCAGATCAGGCTCAAAGAAATTTAACAAACCTTTTGGCCACTGAAGAAGAAGAAGCAAGACTATACAATTTAGAAGTTTTTCCACTTGCTATTTCAATGAGCTAAAACATAAAAGATGGTATGCCAGATTCTGTTCTCATGCCATAAATCCAAAATAACACCATTGGCTTGCTCAGATTTTACACCGGCTTCAGGAGAGTTACTTTGAATTTACATCACTGTGAGATCAGGATCAAACTGCTGAGAGGATATTAAAAGGAGATTAAACATGATCTTAAACAGTGATATCCCAGGAGATCCAAGGATTTTCAATTTGCAAGATTTTACAACTGTCTGAGAGTTGGATAAATTTCAAATGCAGTTGCTGATAAGAGCATTTGCAGCTGCCAAAAGAACCTGTTTTAAGGACCTGAAAGTTGGCAGACAAACTGAGCATCACGGAGGAGTGTAACTGAGTCTGCAAGCAGGGAGAAGGGAACTCCATGGGTATTTCTGAGAGCATCTGCATGTGACTAGATTCATTTGACCTCAGTTACTGGAGAGGTTTATGCTACTCTTTTATGCACTCATTCACCAAAATTTTGAGCTCAGGTTTAAAGCATAGCCACGTGTATTTTGATATCTAAGGCCCAGGTCCTTGAAAGTGTTTAGCTACCTAATTCCTGCTTACGGGAATCACTCAAACTGAAATCAACTCAGTAGACATTTCAATATCTGGCTTAAATTATTTTGCTTCTTACTTGGACAAGACTGGTACTCAGCATCCGTGTCTGAATATTGGTTCAAAGACATACAGAAGGGGCCTCATCTCGCTTTCTTCTACTCGTTAAACAATATCCCTACAGAACTTAATGAATTTTTTTTTCCTGCAAGTCGGGGCTCTTGAATCTTTCTAACTGTTATTTGCAGCATACTCAACAGCGTCAGTGAGATGAGTTCAACAAGCTGATCTGTAATTCTTGAGGCAGAGGATGATTTTCATTTCATTCAAATTAGTTTCTCATCTGGCATAAGAGGACACAATATCCATCTTTCTGATACCCTGAAAATCATAGACTCAGTTGATAAATATTCCTGAATAAATGAGACTCCCAAAGAATTGATTAACAAACAGTGAACTGTATTCTGATACTGATCTACAGATAAGAGATTTTGATGGAGAGATTAAAGTTCAAAAGCTGAACGCTACATTCCCTAGCCATGTGTGCAATTCTTGCATATTGTGCATCCATTTAACTTGTCTATGCACTCAAGTACACAACGGCTGGACGTGAAGCTGACTAGACACATATACATTGTACTGTCTGAGTACAACGATGATGGCTGTGTATGCAAAAGTATCGTTCAGAACCCACACAAAGTAGCTATATACGTTTTTTCATCTTTAACCTTGAAAAGCAAGCCCCATAAACCATCCTCTTCAGGGATGCGCTGCAGTAATTGAAGTATTCAGATTTTGAAGATGCCAAGAGAATAATTTTAAATAATCTAAACTACATATAAGTAGGTATGCATCATACCATGGGCTAATTTGAAGATGTCTCCAAATTCTGTTGTCCTTAAATTGAGATGAGAAAAAAAACCACACAGCAATTATTTTGTCTGTTTCAGAAGTTAGTTTTCAATATTTCGACTACACAATGCAACAGAGATCTAGTCTTCATTTCATATAATTATGCATCAGATTTTCTGAAAGAAAATGAAATACCTATTTTTTACACAAAGTAAAACAGTCTGTTACTATCGCCCAGAACAATTAAGGCTTGAATCAGATCTAAAGGCTGCAGAGGCTGACATAAAAGACAACAGAGAGTAGTCAAATCTTAACATGAGTTCATTCTCTAGATACAAAGTTGTCACTGGGAAATATGATATTTTTTATTAATTACAGTAAAAGAAATCCCAAAGTACGTACCATGCAGTGAAGCATCCCCCACATTATATCCCTAAGAAATCCATTACGTAAAATTCATTTTTGCGGTAGAACATGCCTAGCTTGTGCAGCTGGAAGCTATATCCATGGCCTGTAAGGCATTTCACATCCCTGTCCTATATCAAACACGCCTCCTATCATTCAGTCTGTGCTAATTCCCTCCTTGCACATACCCTTCAAAGCATTTAGCGCTTCAGCTTTTGTAAAACTCCAATTAAAATCCCAATTAACAAAAAGAATATTTATTTTGAGCACAAAATATTCAGTGCTTTGTTTAATTTGGGTATTAATTTGTATAGCTATCTTTTTTATCCACTACGGTTATGATGTTCCTTCCCCTAACAGATTTACTTGAAGTTTTATTTGTTATAAATGAAAATATTAAATTGAAGCTTTAACAAAAAACTATTGGCAAAGTGACATTAAATCTAGTGAGCAGGTTTAACTGAGAGGAAGCGGGGAAGGAAAACATTTTAGAAAGGTCAAAGCATTTTTTTCATATATTTACACAAAATGCATGAAAATGTTATTTATAAATGAAAAACAAGGTGAAACTTAGCTAAATTAAAATTTCAAGTCCAAAAGATTAAAATCTAACTGTAATGCCCTCTTGGGGCAGAATAAAACATTTAATTCAACTGTAAAATATTTTGAGAGTTTCACTTCGATGAGAAGAACTAACCGCTTAAATTATTTAATGATGTACAAAAATATTCTGCTGAACTTTCACATTATGAAGTTCACTGATTTGATAACAGAGTACTTTTATGACTTTGTTCTTCATGAACTTACGGATTGCTTCTCATGGTAATGTATCCAGTATAAATATCTTTTTATATCCCTAGAAAAAAAAATGCCTACATTGATCTTCATACATATTAGGCATGTAACATGAAATGAAAAGTGAAAAGGCAGCAGCTGAAATGTGTGAAAACAAACATTTATAATGATACAATCAAGTCTGAGCATAAATTTCGACTTATTCATGGTGCAGATTACATGACATTTGATGATGGATGAAGATGCTTAAGTGAAGTTCTATTAAAAGTAGTGTGATGTTCCAGATAACAAGGTTACCACACTATTATGCATTTTCTGGATGGAATAGCAGGTAAGCCTCATTGACCATCAAAATACTGTATTGTAATCAAAGTCCTTGAAGGCAGATATTTGAAAATCTGTTTATCTAAATGCTGGAGGGAGAGAGGGCTAGAGAATCTATTGTTAGATATTGTTGCGTAACTAGAAAATCATGGAAACGCGTAAAAATAAGGAAGTGGGAAAATACACATATTAAGTTTTGCTCATAATTACATAATGGAGTTCTTCCACAGAAAACAAAAATATTATATTGTTTTGTAGTCTTGATAAGATACGCTACGAAAAAACAGAGAGGTAGGATCCATATGTCAAAAATAAAAGTTTGGCCTGACTGAAGAAACAGATACGCAAAACACAAGAAAGACATTAAATACAGTGGTGGCCTGTGGCGTGTGCTACCAGGTAAAATCAGGAAAAAGGGAAAAAATAACAGAGACTCTGGCGGTAGCTACGGTCTAGGAAGAAATTTCATTTCAGTGCACTGAATAATTAAACCATGGCTACTTTCCAAAAGAGAAGACCTGTGTCTGAAACCGTATTTTTTGGAAATATTCTGGAACAGGAACAGCATCAAGTGAGAAAAAAAACAAGAACACAGACCTAATCTCCTTCCTAACCATCCTAATCTACAGCAGGATGATCCAGATCAAGAAAAGGAAAGAGTACCTCCTAACACAGGTCAAAATGAAACACTGTCTAAGGAATCTCTGGATTTGAAGAGCTATATATTAAAAACCTGTACACTGCTTTCCCAACAAACAAAATACCATAACTCCATTAAATATAAATGGCAAAAATCTGTCTCCATAACAAAGTGGTTTTAATGAAACTTGCCATTCATCTCCTTTATGAGGATGTCGTGAGGCATGATTCATTATGTTTGTAAAGCGCTTTGAAATCCTAAGATGAAAGATGCCCAAGAAATGCAAAGTATTATCATCATATTATAAAGTAGTATTATCATTGTCATCAAACAAAGTGCCATAGGAAAGGACACTTTTGCACACGACTTAATTCCCGATTTTACAGCTCACCTTCTAATGTAAAGCTTCTCTTATTATTAGACCCAAACCCGGGTCCAGGAAGGGAAAATATTGTGAATAAATTCTTGCATTCCCAGCCCCCAGATGTCATTGCTAGACAGAGAACTGCATCTAAACTACAGCTTAGCAAGGTACAGTCACATTTAGCCTCTGTCTGTCAATTCAGCACCCACCTAAGCAAGCGGCAGGCGCAGGAGCACCTCTCCTGCCGGACGCTGTGCATACCAACAGTCTCTCTGGTCTTCACGCAGGCGTTATTCTGGAGCACTGTGTCCTGAAGTAAAAAGATACACAGATAAATGAAACAAAAAATGAAAGGATAATTTTGAGAAAAACGGCCCTTCTCCTCTGAATTTTGACATGTAAAATAGATATTTCTCCCGCTTCGCCATCCAACTCAATTTTCTTTAAGTAATACAACTTCACAAATAGATTCAGTCTCTCCAGAATTCAGCTTATCAGCGGAAAACTGATTTTTTTTCTCCCTGCACCCCCAGCCCCAGCAGCCCTCGCGAACCAGGCGCCGAGGCAGGCCTGGGCCTCACCTACGCCTTCCGCCACCGAAGTTTCCTACCGCTTCAGTATTAACGATTCTTTACAGGGCGTAGTTATGCCATGCTGGTAATCTGTCACTTTCATTCACTTACCGAAAAGCAAGCAAATGAAATCAAGGTTTAAAAGGTTACGTTTTTTATTGATCTTAAAAACAGGATTTGGCAGGTGTTATTTTCATAGGTGTTGGCTTTGGCAACATTCCTCAGCCGAGCAGCATTGCAATTCCATTACTGCTTTGGCTCATTAGAATATTCAGCAAGTTAATACCTTTATAAATCATAATTAACTACTCCTTTTGGTTTTGTTCCACTCCTGAACTGTTTTGCATTTGTTTGTTACTGTTTAGGGGCAGAGAGTAAATGTGAATATTAAAGATTTTGGACCTAATTATTCCCTCTCCTGGATAAAAGTAACTTCTGTTGATTGTAACTGAAGTGATTTGTTCCTGCCTGGGGAGGATCGAGCTCCCATTGTTTTTTCTCCAGGTAAACCTAAACAAAGTTACTAACTTCAATAGCGCTGTCTGTCCAGGCTTCACTTATCAGGCCTCTTACAACTTAAACCTACGGCTATTAAATTCTGGCATTAATTCACAAAACTCTATTGAAGTCAGCAGAGCTGTGCCAGTTCTCATCTGCAGAATATTCTGCCCATTATTCCTGACATCACACAATTACAGAAAAGCTCTACCAGATGCCTTGTTTTTATCAAGAAACAGTTTATTTAAATCAAGTATATTGTATTGTACAACACTTTAGAAAAGGCTTAAAAAGCCAAGGGAGTACAAAGAGTAGATTACTGTATTACTTACAATATGGGGGTGGAATAGCTTCATTTTTATGTAAATTCCTCTAAGGAATGATGGGTTGCTTTGCCTTCATTATGCTCACGGTAACTGTAATTCTTTGTGGAAACATCGCATAACATGTGCAGAAAAGGTTTCCAGTAGAGTACACTGGAAACTAACATGTGCGTTACTTTTAATAGCATAATAGACCAGTCTGGGAGCAGTTTCTTTGTTTTCCTTCCTTTTAGTGATGGCTTGGAACATAATTACCAGCATTCTCAGGTCTTCACGCAGAATGGTTTGGGGTAATTAGTTAAAGGACATATATGCCACGTACAAAGGGTGAAGAGCAGGTAGCACAGCTGTTCTCCCTGACCCCAGCCCGCCATCAGAGCGCACTGGACATACCCGCTCATCGTTCAGAGGAACGACTAGCACAGGGCTAATCCCATCTGCTAAGTGATTAGCATAGAGCTAAAGCGCATAGTGAGGAAGTCAAGGATTCTGTTCCTGGGATAGTTCAGTATGACACCACCACACCACAGACCTACCTACCGCAGTCTGGCCTTGACCAACGCTTGCCTGCCTAAGTCGCTTGTTACAGAATAGTATCTGACTAATGCTTCCTAAAATATGACTCCCAAAGGACTAAACAAAATTTAAAAGAACTAATAAATAACAATACACTCTCTCCGTTGCTCATACCAGGACAAATTATTATCCATACAAAAAAATCTCAGGAGGCTTTAACTGGAAACTGGTGAACTCACCAGTGCCTGTAAGTCCCACCTGTCCTAGCAGTCCACCACTACTTCATGTCTTATGGGGTCTTCAGGTAAAGAGCATGCAGTTCACAGGGAAATTAATGCTGCTTAAAGTACAATTCACTCTCCACAACTTCTTATTTGGGTCATTCCTCTGATTTAGAATACAGCTTTTCTTTTCATGTTGCTGTTCTTCAGGTCACCACTGCACCCACTTACATTTATGTCAGTGGCAAAGAGAATGATGCCGTCTCTTTATGCTGATCTTTGTCCCTCTGCAGTTCACAATGTAATTATAAAAAATGATGTGCTGTTTCCTCCAAGAAAACCTAGAGAGACATGAAAAACTGTCCAAGAAGTGCAATAAAACAATATAAAACGAAGGAAATGAAAAAGCATGGAAGAAAACTACATATTGCTGTTTCTTTTCAAAGCAGCACAGACTGCCTGAAAGAATCCAGTATGAATGTAACATTGAAGTGACCTACAGAAGTCATAAACACCTGATGTTTGAGCCACAAGATAGAAGAAAACTAGGTAAGACATCAAATGCAGTAAAAAACAGTGAGGATAATAGCTACAAGGCAATGTACAAAGGTGAAAGAAAAGAGATATTACAAGAATCCTAAAATAAAAAGGTGTTAATTGCCATTCTGCTTAAAAGTACGCAATTTTCTAAAGCATTCTATCTAGTTACATTATTCATATTAGTACAGAACAACAACATTTCAGGCAGAGGACTTCAAATACAGAGCTAAATAAAATAAAAGCCAAATAAGAAAATATGGAATATTGTAAATAAATCGAACTCATCGGACTAGATTTAGAAAATAAAAGCACGAGATACTAACATGCTGTCTTTAATCATCATATCATCCCTTGTAAGCAGTGTCTTAGTGAGTAGGTTAACATGATTATTTGTATCATTTAGCACAACCATCTGGAGACAAATAAAACGTTTTTAGGAGTCTCCAGGCTTATTCCTTTATAATGCTAGTCATAGTTTTGCTTAAACTATCACTTTAAAATGAAAATGCTCGCTTTCTAACTAACTCTTATATTTACTGTTAAAATAAACACATAAAAATGCATTTTCTTCTTGAGTTTTAGGCATCACATTCCCTTAGTCAACAGAAAATTGCAGGAAAATACACCTTCAGCTGTTCAGGTTCCAGGCAAGGAGATACGGAGCACGTGGAAGCTTTGGAGCTCTTCCCATGCATTTACAACCCTAATTCGGTGGCTGAAATCACTTCTTAGTCTCCAAGAAGGCTTATTAGAGTTTAGTAGCTCCCAGAGGAAACTTTGGGGAACAAGTCAGACTCTACAGTGCAGTCCCATCACTATGGACTAGGAGTGCCTATACCCAGTATCATTTTCTGGAAGTCTTCACACAAGTTTTCTGACAGGAGCAGTACTTCTGTTTTCCTCCACTGATGGTTTAAATGGGGTAAGATGCCCATTAAGATAACATTTGAAGTAAAACATTCCAAAAAAATCAAGAAAGTAGAATTCATGATCTATATTAGAAAATCCTAAATCATATCAGGAAGTTATTTTCTCCAATGTGGTTAAAAATAATATGGTGTAAAATGGGGAAATAAAGACGATTTCCATCATTTTCTCTCAATCACTGTTTCAAAGACTTTGGGATAAAAAGTTATTGTTCTGGATTCCCATGCTATCATTACTCCTCTTGTTTCTAACCTTTATCATGCTCTCTGCTGCACCAAATGAGGAGTACACCTGACTCTGCCTTGCCTTTTCTAGCCTCACTTACAGTAAATCTTCCTGTTTCAAAGATACTGCACGGAATCGTCCTCACCTTGAAACATCTACCCCGTTTCAGCTGAAATATTTATTCCAGCCTCAGCCCCTTCTCCACTATTACAATTTCTCTTGAACATTTTTACTAAATCCTTTTGGAACAGACCACATTAGGACCCGAGTGGCACACAATCTATGCTGACTAGAAAAGCTGCACCATGACAAATGTCTCCCTCTGAATTTTCTCGTGTAAGAAGGAATTTCTAGTATTAGTGTGAGACTAAATAGCACATGCCACACAAGTAGTGATCCTTGAGTGATACTTGAGGGCTTTGGTCTTAGTGGTCTTAGCTTTTACAGATTCTCTCGGGGAAGTCATAGAAATCCTCAAACTTTCAGAGCGCTAAGGGGTCTATATGTACTAATACAGCACCCAAGCACACCAAAACACTCAGCAAAGAAATGTTTGTTTTAGACATTGCTATTAAAATCGTCTACTAGTGAAGGTCCATCTATGACCTGTTCCTATTGACTAGCTCAAAGCAATATAGCGGTATCTCCTAATCCAGTCCAAAGAAAGTCTAGATGTTACATGTTTCACACTGCTGCTACGGTGAACGACACTTCCATCCAGAAAAACCCACTAGGGAAAACAGTAATGGAAATTCTATGAAAAAATGTAGCACTGCCTCTGTTTGAAAGCATTTTATTATTCCTTGAATGAAGAATACTATATAAAAATAAACTAGATGCAATAAATTGTAGAAGCCAAACTGTCTAGCTGCTAGAACAGAGAAATGGCTATTGAGGTAGTAGGAGATAATTAGGGACGATGATCAGATAGCTCGCAAAATCTCCCAGGAGAAAAATAATTGATCTAGACTACTGGTAACTCCATTCTATCTTTCTATCTCTTCCTCTGTTTCTTTTTTCTTCTTTCTTTCTACCTTACTACTCCTCTTATTTAAACTTCAGCAAGCCTGTTAAGAAACCACAGAACAGCAGTAATAATTGTATTAAATCAATAGTGCGGTATATAAACTCCTTGCTTTTTGCATTAATGTCAGGGTATTTTATCCATTTTTAACATCACATTCTTTATGTTCCCACCGCGATAAGAATGCATTTTCTATGTTTGCAGCGCTTTCAATTGTTACTGCACATACACTTACACTTCCTAATGTCCAAAATTTGAAAAGGGCATCAGTGACCAAAATTAAGATCCTTGGCTTAATTTCCTCTTCCTGACTTCAGACCGCAGCCTTTCTCTAGACCTCTCCATACCACAGCAACCGTTCAGTCCACAGTATCCTCAAAAATTCAGATGAGAATTATTTAGAATTTCTGAAAAGCCTCACTAATAAGGTAAATACTAGAATACTGGTGGTGGTGGTGTATCCCTGGCAATAAGGGGAAGATGTGCAACCTTAAAGAAAAAAAAAAAAGCGCATCTACTTTTCAGTTTTGTTGTAATTCTAGATCTCCTATTATATTACAGATACTTGATTTCCGTTCTGCAGAGTATAAATATCTTCTTAACAGAATTAATAGCTGTAAGTATTATGGCTACTAAGAAAGTACTAGCAAAAGTGCTGTAAAGTATTAAAAATATTAACGTTAATATTTAAAATAAACAGTGCTTATAAATGAAACTGTGAAATTAAATAAAAATCTTTCTGGTGGCTCTCTATTTTAAGGAAATACTTGTGTTTCGCTCCCAGAAACGCTGCTAGGAAGTTCATTCATTGTTTCCTTTGTGTACCCGACTACGCACACTGAAAATGGTGTGCACTCCACAAGATGAGATAATCCTTGAAAAAGAAAAGAGATGGCTTAGAAAACATGACTTTACCCAGCCCCCAAAGGCCCCCCCCCCCCGAAGCACTAAAACACCAAGGAAGGCTAGACTTTAACGGCTCCATTTGTAACTAGGACTGCACTGGCATATAATTACTCTGTCTCAGTAATGTCAGCGTGAAACTTTCAGTGACAAATGGAGAGCATGCAAGAACAAATGTTACTTCTTACACAAGAACAGTATTACTTAAATTCTTTGATGAATACAGTTAACAGACAGCAAACTTAGCTGGGGAAACCCTAAACACACCTGACACACAACACGCTGAAAACAGACAAATTCAAACTGGGCGTGCAGCTGTAACAGATAACTGGGCGTAGCAGGAACCAAGAGCAAGGATGGAGTCTTCGGCTCTTCCTACTTAGATGCTCTTCTCATTAAAATGCTATTGCCACGTTCACATCATGGGGCCCAGTACAGTAAAGTAAAAGGACAAGATTTATTGCATGTAAAAGGTCAAACCAGATAATCTAATGGTGCCACCCAATCCTTGAATTGAAAAACACTTTTTGATTACTTACTCTCTAGGCTCTGTACATGTGCACATCTTCGTAAGTGCCCTGCACTACAGACGGAGCATTGAGAGAATTTCCTTCATCCTGCTCCGTTACTCGCAATTGCTATTGTTCTCCACACTGATTTTTTTATGGAGAAGAAACAGGATGGCAAAAGTCTAGTATCTCTTTTCAATACTGATTATTAATATCACTAGCCCCCATATGGCTCATATTTTCAACACTAAAATTCCTCACCAGCAAAGGGTACAGATGCTCTAATGTACGGAGCAGGCAGTCAAAGGCTGAAATAATAATCTGACATATGTGTGTGTCATATAGCTTTCACTATATATTTCAAAACTAGCAGTTTTTTCAGAGTCATGTAATTTGGCTCTTCATACTGAAAATAGTCTTTCATACTGAAATAACGAATGTTGCTCAAATAAAAATGTTAGTTTAGATTTTTTCATGTTCATCTAATGTCCGTGTTTCACATTGACTTTGACTTTCGTGATCATAAACATTTGTCTTTTTTCTGGGCAAAAGAATGTACAAGGATGCATTCAAGATATATGCTCAGAATAAATACAACTAGGAAACAAGGGCTATCTACCAAAATGTCTATGAAGAGGCTTGACAAGATTAGTTAATATGGCATAGCGGTAAATGGAAGAGCCAAATTATATAATTTTGCAAAAACAATGCTAATTTTGAAATATGTAGTGAAATCTGTATAGCACACAAATACATCAAATGATTTACAACCCTTTCCATCTCAATTTCTATGACTGGAAAACCTAAAGAAAGTACTATGAAAAAAGCAGTCTTCCCTGTGTAACTATATGGAATAGATATCCACCAATACTATCTTCACATAACAAAAACTTGTGCTGTTACAATGCATTTCAGTCTTTTCATAGAGATCGATGTCTACTCAAGCACTTGTTGAAACTAAGCATGTCAATTTGAGGAAAATAAAAACTAGTTTCAGCTTAGCATTGTACACAACGAAGACAGAATTCTAGTCAAAACAAAGCAAAAAAACCAGATTATTTTCCCGGGTTGAAGCATCAGATGTATCGTTTCCCTGTTTTTCTTAACTTATGAATTTGAAAAATGTTTCCTTGTTAGGATATAATCATGAACATGCACCAGAAAGATCTAAATTGAAGATACTCCCTCAGTAAGTAAGGAAAG